ATATTATGAACATCTCTTACATCTGCTTTGTCAAGCACCAGGCGTCGCTTTTTTCCTGTTTGGATTTTTATTCGAAAAACACAAAACGTCGAGCAAAGATACAAATTATAATGAGCCTTTGTGTTGAAGATTTTATTATTATATACTAATATTATTTTTTATTAATATTTAAATTATTGCCTTTTTTAGGGGCAATTTTTGCAATGTTTTGAAGGTGATATACTCGTTTGTTATTTCATAATGTTTCGTACTTTTGAGTGTTTTACGTTCTTCAGTTATATCTGGACATATATAAATATATATTATATAAATAAATATATATATATATATATATATATATATATATATATATATATATATATATATATATACTTAAATTGACTACTTCTCTTGTGAAACATCGAATTCTGGCCCGAGTGATGGTTAGCATGCTGGACTGCCACTTAGTGGGAAAGGGTTCGATGCTTCATAGGAGTCAATTTGTTTATATATATATATATATATATATATATATATATATATATATATATATATATATGTGTGTGTGTGTGTGTGTGTGTGTGTGTGTGTGTGTGTGTGTGTGTACTTACCTAGTTGTGCTTGCGGGGGTTGAGCTCTGGTTCTTTGGTCAAAAAAAAAGACCAAAGTGTGTGTGTGTTTGCACGCGCGCGCCACAAACTCATTAAGATGGCCAAACTTGGAACAAACAAGTTACTAAGAAGCTGCGTCACCATCTTCACTCACATGCGCCTCCAGTTTACCCCCCCCCCCCCAGCTTGATATATGCCTTAATCTTGTTCAGCTCAGAATTAATAACGCCAATGTTATCGATCAAACAGATGACGGTCAGGTGGTGGGGGGGGGGAGACTTAACCAGCCTGGACCTTAAACTGATGCGAATATATATAATTCACAGCTGATTTCATCGTGTCTGTCAACTTCCAGCTTACATCTGTCACAAGTGACAGCTAACATTTGTGTGTGTGAGAGAGAGAGAGAGAGAGAGAGAGAGAGAGAGAGAGAGAGAGAGAGAGAGAGAGAGAGAGAGAGAGAGAGAGAGAGAGAGAGAGAGAGAGAGAGAGAACAAACATAAACTCCTCCTCCTCACAACTCCTAAGTCATATATTTTACGGAACTGATCAAACCATCACAAATGCGACGCATTAGTAAACACCGTAATATTAACGTTTTTCACACGTCGGCCTCGACAGGTTAGGGGGGTTGCTTGGGTTCATACGTTACTGGTTAGACAAATCAGTCGAATTTTTGACGTAGTGACACATCTAGAGAGCAGACAGGCTCAACCACCGAACAACGATACAAATGGACAAATAAAATCATTTAGTAATTAGTTACAACTAAGACCATCTTCTAAATAGATCTAAATAATAGTTTTATACTTTTTTACATAAAGGACATTCAGTGAAAGTATTTTTAAAAATGGTTTACAACACTGACAGAGACCATTTGTTTCCTGATCCTCTGAACCAGTCCACAACTCATTTACATACACAACAATGCTCTTGTAAACAATTTGTTCTGTCGATGTTGCTAGCTTTCAGTATGGTGCTGGCCTGTAATGTTCACCGTGAACAGTCTGCAGTATTGTACTGACCTGTAATGTTCACCGTGAACAGTCTGCAGTATTGTGCTGACCTGTAATGTTCACCGTGAACAGTCTGTAGTACTGTGCTGGCCTGTAATGTTCACCGTGAACAGTCTGTAGTACTGTGCTGACCTGTAATGTTCACCGTGAACAGTCTGTAGTATTGTACTGACCTGTAATGTTCACCGTGAACAGTCTGTAGTATTGTACTGACCTGTAATGTTCACCGTGAACAGTCTGCAGTATTGTGCTGACCTGTAATGTTCACCGTGAACAGTCTGTAGTATTGTACTGACCTGTAATGTTCACCGTGAACAGTCTGCAGTATTGTGCTGACCTGTAATGTTCACCGTGAACAGTCTGTAGTATTGTACTGACCTGTAATGTTCACCGTGAACAGTCTGCAGTATTGTACTGACCTGTAATGTTCACCGTGAACAACCTGCAGTATTGTACTGACCTGTAATGTTCACCGTGAACAGTCTGTAGTACTGTGCTGACCTGTAATGTTTACCATGAACAGTCTGCAGTATTGTACTGACCTGTAATGTTCACCGTGAACAGTCTGCAGTATTGTGCTGACCTGTAATGTTCACGGTGAACAGTCTGCAGAATTGTGCTGACCTGTAATGTTCACGGTGAACAACCTGCAGCACTTGTCAATATAAGCAGGTTCAATCCTCCAGCTTGGCAGGCAACGACCTGCCGTCAAGCAAGCCCCGGGCAAACAGTCCACATGAGGTCACCTGGATCTAAAATAGATCCAGTATAGTAAATAGAAGATAGACGGTAAGCTATAATTTAGAAGACACTGTGGCATAGTGGCATAGCTCTCGATGCGAGCCCTGGCCTCAAAAGTATGCGGCAACTGTTTTACCAACCACACCATGTGTGTGTGTGTGTGTGTGTGTGTGTGTGTGTGTGTGTGTGTGTGTATGTGTGTGTGTATGTGTGTGTGTGTGTGTGTGTGTGTGTGTGTGTGTGTGTGTGTGTGTGTGTGTGTGTGTGTGTGTGCGAGACCCACAGAGTTTGTAAACAAAGTATGAAAAACTGGAAATGTAATTGCGTCGAAGAATGTATATTTTCAGACAGAGATGGTAGGATAATCAGTCACCGTTGCTAAGAGATATAGGTGGGATATAAGCAACATTATATAGGTCAATACGTGGCCTGCCACTGACTGTCGTCCAAATATTGATTTTAACTCATTTGTTTAGGTTTAGAGTGAGTGACGGTCTCTGCAGCTGATGGCCGACTGGCTCAGTCCTCACATCAATCAAAACTTGAATTCTCTCCCTATTTCATATTTTAACTATTGCACTGAATATATTGATAAATTCAAACACATATTTGTAGAGTTGAAACAAGAGTAAATGTTGCATGCTCTCAACATTGCAACAACAAAGATTGTAAAGTTTCCAAAAGGCAATGTAATAGGATCCTTTGACTCAACAAAGACACTTTCTAGCTAGTAAGTCCGGCAGTAATTTCTCCCTGAGATAACTTTAAGCTCATCATGCTTCAATGGTGCGTACACCTTGGGAGTCCTCAGACGCAAGTTCGATCCCACTTCATAACCTCCATATCTCGTTACACATAAACTTTAGATCTGAGATGTAATACAAGAGAGCGCTGGGAGAGGCCAGGCGGCCATCACACACATCAGGGGGGGGGCGGGCGGGGGGGGGGGGCGGGGAAACAAAGGAAACTTCACAACTGCCGCCAAGCGAAATCTGTCGGTTAATTCGTGGTTGACAGCGCTGGCTCAGCCACCACTGCTAATATTGGTATGACCACCTGGCTCACTGCTCACAGCTGGGGGGGGGGGGACAGTGCCACGCCTCGTTTGGTACACAAAAACGGACTAAATGTGTGTTTTTTTTACTTTTGTACACAAAAGCTGTTTTTTTTTTACTTCAACGAGTGCTTTTTTTGTTATATATATTTTTTATTTTATATATTTATATTCTTTTCTTTAACCTTGTTTTTTTGCTTTTTATCTTTTATTGGTTTATTGTGAACTTCAAAAGTTCATTGTTCATAGTTCTTTGTCAGTTTAATTGGCAAGTTTGTTATGACAGTAGAGGAGAAAGGAACTGCACAGTGGTCTACGTCACCGACTTACGCCTGAGAGGACCCGGGTTCGATTCTCACCGTGGGACGGAGACGTTTAGGAATGTTTCCTTTCATCTCATGCCTCTGTTCACCTAACAGTAAATTAGGATCCTGGGGGAAAGACAGCAGTTGACCTAGGGGGGCACCTTACACATGGTGTGGGTGTGTGTTCTCTCTCTAGATAAGAACATACAGAACAACTTTTAAGACTGCTCAGATGATAGAGCGTCGATGTCACACGCGTAAAGTCTACGGTTCGAGCCCCCGTCTCTCTCTCTCTTTTAAACCTCGAATTGGTGCATGAAGATCTTAATGATCGTTAACCCAGATATTAATTTGACGTTCCTGGTGAAATATTGACTGTACTAAAGGACTCTATAAGTATCTGGGTCCCGGAATAATAGAGTTCCAGAGTTGCCGATCAGCAAGACGGTCACAGAGCCTCGTGTCTGAGGCGGCAACAGAGAAGCCTTTAAGAGCCACAGTGTGTGCCCGCTGGGGTGAAGGTATTTTGGACTTTATATATATATTGCTTAGACTCTCTGTTTGTTGACTAGACTGTCACCACTGTCACACACACACACACACACACACACACACACACACACACACACACACACACACACACACACACACCACTTTCCAACTTTAAGGTGAACGTTTGTATAATGCACGAAATAGGCTGTGAATTCTTTATCAGGGAAGTACCTACTGAGGTGGTTCTCAGGGAAGTACTTACTGAGGTGGTTCTCAGGGAAGTACTTACTGAGGTGGTTCTCAGGGAAGTACCTACTGAGGTGGTTCTCAGGGAAGTACTTACTGAGGTGGTTCTCAGGGAAGTACTTACTGAGGTGGTTCTCAGGGAAGTACCTACTGAGGTGGTTCTCAGGGAAGTACTTACTGAGGTGGTTCTCAGGGAAGTACTTACTGAGGTGGTTCTCAGGGAAGTACTTACTGAGGTGGTTCTCAGGGAAGTACCTACTGAGGTGGTTCTCAGGGAAGTACTTACTGAGGTGGTTCTCAGGGAAGTACCTACTGAGGTGGTTCTCAGGGAAGCACCTACTGAGGTGGTTCTCAGGGAAGTACTTACTGAGGTGGTTCTCAGGGAAGTACCTACTGAGGTGGTTCTCAGGGAAGCACCTACTGAGGTGGTTCTCAGGGAAGTACTTACTGAGGTGGTTCTCAGGGAAGTACCTACTGAGGTGGTTCTCAGGGAAGTACTTACTGAGGTGGTTCTCAGGGAAGTACCTACTGAGGTGGTTCTCAGGGAAGTACTTACTGAGGTGGTTGGTGGGCGTCGCGCGTCGGTCGTATTCCTCCAGCAGGTTGTCCAAAATTTGCAGGTCCGTCATCTTCCCACATAACCTGAAATGTATGATAGCAGTTGTTAAGGAACTGAAGATTATGAAAGGGGGAGGGAGGGAGGGAGGGAGGGAGGGAGGGAGGGAGGGAGGGAGGGAGGGAGAGAGAGAGAGAGAGAGAGAGAGAGAGAGAGAGAGAGAGAGAGAGAGAGAGAGAGAGAGAGAGAGAGGGAGAGAGAGAGAGAGAGAGAGAGAGAGAGAGAGAGAGAGAGAGAGAGAGAGAGAGAGAGAGAGAGAGAGAGAGAGAGAGAGAGAGAGAGAGAGAGAAGCGGAGCTCTTCTCTCATCTATGAGCTTTAAATATCATATATGTAAAGCCGTGTTTGAGAGCTTTAAATGAGTGATATAAAGTGATATATGAGAGGTTGGCTGGGGGCCTGGCTACCCATTCTCTTCAGTAATTCCTTTAAAGTTTCACGTAAAATCAATACTTTTCGCTCTCATCTCCAGGCAACTGTAACTAACCAATTGGATATTTATCTGTGCTATCGTTCCCCTTCCTATTTATAACTTCAGTTAACTTTTCCATTGGTATACTTGTGTATACTTGTGGGGTATATGTGTTATGCTTACTACTGCTAATTCTTCAAACAACACTTGGAGCACAACCCGTCCTCATTAACAAAGTCCAAATGCTCGTTAATCCAGCCACCAAACCCTCTGTTTATGAATGAAAAACACTTTACATATCACTCACAACCGATAACGTTCGAACATTTCTGGAACAGTGCTTCAGTGACGTCCTCTGTTCGAATCCCACCTCCGTAATACAAATAATTTCCAGCAGAAACTAAACACCTAACCTAATCTAAGTCTAACGATACATTAAATTCTAATATATAAAAATATTAATTTATATATTAGGAAATACTGATTTTGAATACACACTTTGTTAATATTGACGAGTGTCTGTGGGTTGGTACCAGCTTAGCTTGGACCAGTACAGCTTGAGGTCAGCTGCGGACTGGACGCAACCCGTCCTCTTAAAAATAACGTCACTTTTCGCTCGTATGCGCACTATGGCCAAATTTGGACGTAATTTGAAATGAAATCGACTCACAAAAGTGACGTTCTGTTCCGTTTTCTGTTTGAGTCGTCCGGCGTACGCGCAGAGGTTATAAGAGGACACTTTAAATTAACGTTTTTCATAACGTTTTGAAACTTTATGAGAATTTCCTGCCCACCTAACCTACGTTAAGGGTCAGAGGACCCTTAACTTACTGTTGTTGAAAAAAAAATCCCAAATTTATTTTCATATTTTTTTTTATTTTCAAATTACGTCCAAATTCGGCCATACGGGCAAACGGCCAAAAGCGACGTTCTTTTTAAGAGGACAGGTTGCTGGACGAGCATAGCTTGGGGATGGGGATAAACAGCTCCGTGGCCTCTCCAATCACCTATCTAATCCTAACCTATCCTACCATATCTTAATCAATCCTAACCTAACCAAATAGGTAAAGTTCATAATGATAGACTCGACTATATGCAGGCCTTTCCTCGCAAACGTATCAATTTTCTTGTCTTACACAAGGTTGTAAAAATTATGAGTTTATAAATAGCAAAAGAATAGAGATTCACAGTAATAACCAACTATTAACCGGTTTCTCTCCTTTTAACAGTATGTAATATATTTGAGAATAATGGACATAACAAACCTACTTATTTTTTACCAGAATCAAAGATTCTCCAGGTCACAGTATCCGAGATTATTTCCTGGTCACAGCATCCGATTATCTTAAGTCACTATCAGCCAATATTATCACTATCATCCAATATTATCACCAGCGCCCAATCCTCTTTCACTGTTTCTCTTTTGTTTGGTTCAACAGTAAGAAGCGTAGATGTTGCCACATTCTGCTCCTGTTTTAATTCTCGTCTTCTCGGTAAAACTACACAGCAAGACCACACAGGAACACTTTCCTTAATGTAATGTGACCAAACAAGTTTCTCGGTGGGGTTTTCTAACCCCCTTTTTTTTTTTAGTTATCCTTTAACTATTAAACGCGCGTTTGTTCGTAATAGCATTGTTGCACAGAATGCAACCCACAACCGTTGTACAACTCTCAGGTACGTATTGACTGCTATGTGAGCGAAGGCATGTAAGGTCACTTTACCCGGACTGTACCCGGGCCCCTTCTGGGCCTGTACCCGGGCCCCTTCTGGGCCTGTACCCGGGCCCCTTCTGGGCCTGTACCCGGGCCCCTTCTGGGCCTGTACGCGGGCCCTTTCTGGGCCTGTACCCGGGCCCTTTCTGGGCCTGTACCCGGGCCCTTTCTGGGCCTGTACCCGGGCCCTTTCTGGGCCTGTACCCGGGCCATTTCTGGGCCTGTACCCGGGCCCCTTCTGGGCCTGTACCCGGGCCCCTTCTGGGCCTGTACCCGGGCCCCTTCTGGGCCTGTACCCGGGCCCCTTCTGGGCCTGTACCCGGGCCCCTTCTGGGCCTGTACCCGGGCCCCTTCTGGGCCTGTACCCGGGCCCCTTCTGGGCCTGTACCCGGGCCCCTTCTGGGCCTGTACCCGGGCCCCTTCTGGGCCTGTACCCGGGCCCCTTCTGGGCCTGTACCCGGGCCCCTTCTGGGCCTGTACCCGGGCCCCTTCTGGGCCTGTACCCGGGCCCCTTCTGGGCCTGTACCCGGGCCCCTTCTGGGCCTGTACCCGGGCCCCTTCTGGGCCTGTACCCGGGCCCCTTCTGGGCCTGTACCCGGGCCCCTTCTGGGCCTGTACCCGGGCCCCTTCTGGGCCTGTACCCGGGCCCCTTCTGGGCCTGTACCCGGGCCCCTTCTGGGCCTGTACCCGGGCCCCTTCTGGGCCTGTACCCGGGCCCCTTCTGGGCCTGTACCCGGGCCCCTTCTGGGCCTGTACCCGGGCCCCTTCTGGGCCTGTACCCGGGCCCCTTCTGGGCCTGTACCCGGGCCCCTTCTGGGCCTGTACCCGGGCCCCTTCTGGGCCTGTACCCGGGCCCCTTCTGGGCCTGTACCCGGGCCCTTTCTGGGCCTGTACCCGGGCCCTTTCTGGGCCTGTACCCGGGCCCTTTCTGGGCCTGTACCCGGGCCCTTTCGGTCAAAATCCTGAATCATGTAAAGTAGGATTAAAATAGGTCCTAGCTTGATCCCTGAGGCACTGGTGTCACAGATTTGAGTGAAAAAGAGTTCGCTTTGAGCTCGCATGAACAATGGATATAAATAGAATTTAAAATGGATTTTAAATAGGATACGTTTGTTTCAAGAAAGCCCTGGGTAAATACTGGTTTGTAAACAGAATTGTTGGTTTGTGGAACAGATTACCGCGTGACAGTGATTACAGTGATCCCCACACAGTCGTGGGATCACTGGGTTGTTTCAAGCGTAGGTTAGACATGTGTATGTGTTTGGGTGGGTATAAACACGAATGAGCCAAGAGCGTCGCGTGGGCTTCAATGTTGCTTATGCCTGTATTGTGCAGTGCTCATGCATGTACTGTGCGCTGCTCATTCGTGTACTGCACAGTGTATAACCCAGTGGGCACAAATATCCAAGATTTCCATGGATTTAATATTGAAACGTCACTCTTGGATAATGAGATGACTGGGGGGGACTTTGCCAACCTGCGTTCAACGTAACATCGGCAATAAATCAACATGAGGCCAACATATGATCAACGTAGGATCAAGGCTGATCCCCATGTTACTGGAGGGCAGTTAGCCCGCTGGGACGAAGACGAGGGAAGCGAAGGTGAGGGATCGCGCGGTGAAGGCGATGATGCATACGCAAGCAGGTAACACCCAGGCTTGTAGTTCGAGGCAGGCCGGGGTGAAACAGGATTAGGCAAGGCATGGCGGAGTGAGGCATAGTAATGGGAGGTTTGGTGTTGAGGGAAGTACGTATCAACCTCTCGATCGATATAAAGATAACCACAATGTTGTGGTTTCAGATTCAGCTACTCTGAACAAAATGTTCTAAGCAGAACGGGATATGGTCGTACTTACCTGGCACAGGAGAAGCTTATAGGTAACTATAAGTTCACACTAACCAATCAGCATAGTATACATTAGCTCCGAACATATCACAATCGTAAATTATACTCTCACAGCACATAAACAATATATATATATATATATACCTTTCAGAACATATATGATAAAGCCTGAACACCAAACAGGAGGCCGAGTGCGAGCAAGAAGGCCATACAGTGCACTAACTTTCCTGTTTACGCTTACGATGTTAAACTGAAAGTCATGGAAAGTGCCTCTTATCGAAAGTCGACTCTCCTACTCTCACTGGCCCCTTTATACGACCGCTGCTTATTAAGGAGTTAATAACTTGGACAGGCGTATCATCCACTCCTGTTTAGGGTATTTTACAAGGAGTTAATTATAGGTCTTGTAGCGTGGTTGATTCACAACCGTTATGTCCTGGGTTCGTTTCCCACATTACTGGAAATGGAATGAACTAAAGGAGCACATTGTGGAAGCAACCCACTATTCTTAGCTTTAAACTAGATATAATACAGAAGGACAAGAGTCATTTCTTTAAACAACAGAAGGCTAGAATGGCGGGAGCCAAGAGCCAACGCTCGATCCTGCAGGCACAAATAAGTGAGTACACACACACACACACACACACACACACACACACACACACACACACACACACACACACTATTTAACACAAGACTATTTAAAGACAGACTATTTAACACAAGGGGCACACGCACAAGGGAACACAGGTGGAAATTGAGTGCCCAAATGAGCCATACAGACGTTAGAAAGAATTTGTTCAGTGTCAGAGTAGTAGACAGATGGAATGCGTTAGGCAGTGATGTGGTGTAGGCTGACTCCATAGACAGCTTCAAGTGAAGATATGAGAGCCCAGTAGGCTCAGGAATCTGTACATCAGATGATTGAAAGTTGAGAAGCGGGAGGTTGAGAGGAACCTGTACTTTAGTTGATTGACAGTTGAAAGGCGGGACCAAAGAGTCAGAGTTCAATCCCTGCAAGCACAACTAGGTAAGTACAACTAGGCAACTAG